GGTTACCCCATATATGTTATAATACATGCAACAATATACATTAATGGTTAAACTAATAAAAGTTACTGTGTCCTCCTTTCTGCTGAATGAATTCTATTCTTCTTTCGACAACTGTATCAATTCCGAAAGAACGTGCTTCCGGGATCGAGCTGTCCAATTATATTATAAAATACACATACAAACAGTTGTAATAAATCAAACAAAACACACCTGCATGCAGCTGCACTCTCAAAATATTGACTCCATATTTGATGAATCCTCATAAAACAATGTGTAATTATACCAATAACTCTTCAACTTCCTAATGCTAGCTTGATCACTAGCAATATAAATAACTGAGAGAAAAGCAACAAAATATTTGATAATCTAATCTATGAGAATTCAATCAGTTTACCTTCCAACAAACATTCTGCTTGTTCATATAATTACATTAGTAGCAGCAACATTACATTTACAAAATTTGACATATTTCAATAGCCCACCAGATTATCTGAATGGTTATTTATTGATGATAATATGGCAAACACTTCTTAGCGTCAATTATAATGTACAACAGTATAAATGGAGTTGGTTATAGAGGAAAATGCAGGCAAAACTGTCCCAGAAAATATGCCCCTCTGTAGCTTCCTTTACTGTTAATGAAACAGCAGACTGTGTTTTAATTGTATGATTACCATATTCATAGTTTGTGAAAGATGAATGAATTAAGAAAGCTTTACCACCTGCAATGGATAAATTGATCTCACTCAGAGAAGCTCAAGTGCAAGAATGGGAATTGTAGGTACTACAGTCTCATTTAACACAGCATTATTCCAGTATCCGTATAGCAAAATCATAACTTTTATATAGTGTCATCACTATTTCTTTTAAATAATACAGAAAAATTCATATTTTAAACTAAAATTTTCTTGATATAAGACTAAGCCAGTTAGTGACTTATTTGCTATAAAAATGTACTCATTAGAAATATACACAATTTATGCCCTCCAATATTAGAAAATGAAGGTTGTTAAAAACTTTTAATTGACTGTGCCCTTGGATATAATAACAAGATTAATAATATATGCAAGATACATTAACTCTGCCTAAAACTGAATAATAGATCTGACAGTAATAGCAAAGTATGGAAACAAGATTTTCACATACCACATTCCTAAGATGGAAGGTGATGGTATATCACAACCATTAAGGATGAGAGACTGCTTTCACAAACATATTATATTTTTAAATTTAATTATTCACTCATATACTGAAATTTAATATGAAATCAGATTCCCCAGTTACAAAATCACAAAGCACTTTCTAAATCTCTTATAAATATAACTTTTCTGACAGTTCCAACAAACTCAAATTCTCAATTATTTGTTGCTTAGAAACTGTGTATGGAAGTACAGTACTGCAATTAATGTCTGATCACAAAGATGAAAATATATCAGTTCACATGCAATGAATCACTGTAAATTAAAGGACTCTTGACATAACTACATGCATATAAATCATTCTTGACAAGGTAAGAGTTGCTCAAATAGAAAAAATTCCCCGCCATTTATGGAACCCCTTCATCACCTCATCACCGTGTTCATGAGAGACCATTACTGGACTCTATCCTGAGACACTGAAAGACTGAAGTTTACTGTATCGGTGATAACATGTAATAGAAGTAAAATGCAAATTCTATGATAAATATGTCCTCCTATCATCTCTTTTTTTTTAAAAAAAAAAAAACACACACACACACACACTACAGCACATCTAATTCTAACTGAAACCACATCCATAGTTTTGGGATGAGGAAAGACTTGCACTATATACCATCAAGCTTAGCTTGCAAAAAAATTCTTTCAAATTACATCAGACAGAGATACTCATTGAAGCAACGTTGAGGATTAACAAAATCATTTTATGATGTACACATAGCATTCATTTTAAAGATTACTGATGTTAAACATACAGCAAAATTTATGCTGATTCAGACAAAAGCTCAATGATACATTTCTTTGTCACATATTCATTATATAAAGGTTCCACTAAAACATATAAGATATGAGAATGAAAATTATGATCACAATGATGAAACTTAGCAGTATAGCTTTATGACCGATACACAGCACTGAATTTTAAAAATTACCGGGGTTAGGTACAAACAATTCTATTTACATGCTGCTAGAACAAAATTTAGTTTTGATTAACACCAACAGTATTTCAATGTAATGCTCTCATTACAACAAGGTTGTACCATAGTTATGTAAGGGAGCTACTTCAAACCACCTTAAACCTATTCAATCCATTAGTGTGTATAAAAATACATACTTGTCCATTTTCAGAAACAATAAATGAATCCAATTTTTAAAATGTCTTCTACCATCCATTACATGTTGAGCATTCTGCAACAATTCAGACACATATGATGTCTGAAAACAGTTGAAACATACTTCTGCCAGACGACGAAATTATTTATCGAGCCTCCATTTTTTCCAAGCACAGATTATTGCATATCACCAACACTCCATTTTCAAGCATATGTTTATTTTACTGGTTTTGTTTAATGTTAATATATGATGGCCAAGTAAAATACCTTCCTTTAATATATCCTATAGTAGTTGCACAGCATTCATCATTGTTATTAATAATATATATTACTTATTACTGCAAGTAACATACTCCATCCAATCATCAAAATAGAGTACATTGTAAAACCTTTATAAATTATGAAATATCTTCTATAAGTACAATACAAATAAGCTTAGATACTTTATACATATTTAACATGAGGTTATTTTGAACATACATCTTAAATATACCATGTATCTTAATGTAATTCATCAGTAGGAACTATGCGTTAAGTTACTGTTTGGATCTTTACCATGGACACTAAGAAGTGTTTTTGGCAAAAGCAATTTGTCTATATAGCGAAGGTGAAACTATTATAATATATTTGCATGAACAATGGTGCCAACCTTCACATTAAGGATACAAAATTACTGTTTTAATATATGGACTGCATTTACAAAATTCCTTAAAATGCACATCAAGTGACAATATTCTAAAATATAAAATGATATAATACTTTTAAATATTTATATAATTATCTGTTACTGGCTATACAAGATCAAAATCAATTTCCAAATTTGTCTTCTAATGTAGAAGACAATAACAATCCACCACAATCTTTATATACAATTTAACTATGAACTCTGTTGTAACAGCAATTAATGTTTATATGAAAGAAACAGCAGCTTCTGTGTCTGTGTTGCATATATACTGAATGACATTGAATTAAGGTTTCTCTGTACTTTTGTAAAATTCAATATTTATCACCCCATGAAACCTACAACAAAAACTTCCATCTTCTCCTCACGTTAAACAGCTTTCAATGTTAAAATTATAACAAAATTAGTGAAATTACGAAAATTAATGCAAACAAAAGAGTAATTCTGTATGTCAATTAGATTTTCAATTATCTTAGGTTCATTTAAGATCAGAAGTTTTGATATTCAAGAACAAATCTCAACATAAGTAACAGTTTACATGATATTTGTGCATTATCATATACTATTCTGTAAACATTTTCTACTAAGAAAATGCAAAATTCTCATTTATAAAAGAACTGACAAAATTATAATAAATACTCTTGAAAAATGTTTAACATCTTAACTAAATCTGTATTAGCCCAACTAAACATTATTACAAAAGAATAAAAATAAATTATATTACACATATTTTCATATGAAATAAATTAAAAACTACCTTTTAAAACATCCATGTTAAATAAAAAAGAAATAAAAACTGTATTTTATATCAATGAAAAACAACACTCCTTGGCAAAGTTAATTCAATATCACATCACATTACATGGGGAAGAAACTGTGAGAATGTAAAATAAAAGCATCATGCACATGCTAATCAAAATAACTGTTGCAGGGTCACAAAAATCTCTGGTGGCCCATATAAAATTTGAAGCTTTCATAGCAACAGAATGCAATGATGCCTTCTCAGGTGATGTAAGTATGGAGTTCAATCCAACATTTCATAGACTCTCCTTCCATCATCAGGGTTGATCTGATGGGTGACATGACTGCAACAATGCATAAAAGGATCAACAACCAGTAACCCAAAATATCTAAGTTAAGCAGAACAGACTGGGAAGTTACAGGTACAAATACAATGGAGTCATATCACTCATTACATCAGCATTAATGATGGATGCAAAGGCAGTATGAAACATTGGACTGAACTCCATACTTACACAGTTGATCATATCCAAAAAAGACTTAATTGCTTTAATAATTATATATTAAAATGTAAAAGTTACTGTGCAGTGTACAAAAGTGTTGGTCTGTTGAATTTAATATTTACAAATGACAGTATCAAAGCCCAAATTAAAACAGTCACAATTCAAATCATTCAGTGCCTAGTCAATTACTTCAAAGATGCAAATGTTACACAGATGAAAGCTGTTAAATGGTTAAACATCTGTTTCTAGTTTTCCTATAAAGCTATGGTATAATTAATATTACCCATTGTTAAAACCATATCACATACTTTGCAATGTCTAAAATTATTTCAATGACAAATTGGCATCACTGGCATATTTCCCAGAAACAGATTACAACATGTGCAACAATAAATACAATAAGAACTATATTAATGTTACAGGTCATGAGACAACGCAGCAATTGTCATAAAAAATGTTACAATTCCAAAAGAGACAAAACTATAAAATGTAATACATTTCTACATTCTGAAATAATAATAAAAGTTCTACATTGTGTGTGTGTGTGTATGTATATATGTATATATATATATATACACTCACACACTCTAGGACCACAACATCTTATAAAGTATTCTGTTATAAATAAACTTTTCAAGGCAGTAATATTAGACTTTCAAAATTAGTCGCTTATAATAAAAAATAAGTTTAACCATATAAACATCAATATGAATATTCTTTCTGCAGTTGATGTATTTACACACTTTCAAACTGGCCATAAATCAAACATTTAAAATGTGACTACTTATATTTCACATCTTGGACATAGAAAATTGCAATATGGCACAGTTTTATCAAACACTGGGCATGAAAATAATTTAGCAAAGTTACATAGAAATAAACATGGTTCATATATAAGTAGTAGTGTCTTAGAAAAGTTCCAGGTGTGGATTTCACATGTTATTGTTACAAGTACTGATGACTATGTAATTTAACAACTGGATTGAATTCTTTTAAAAATCAAATTTCAGTCACAGATTATTAAAACGCACATATTTTAAATATCATATATTCAATGCAAATTTATTGGTATGTGGCACTTAAACAGAAAATATAATTATTTTCATTTAAGGTATTTTTCACACAGTTTATTCACCGGCTCTAGGATGAGTTTGTATGGTAAATGAAAGCAAAGGTCAGTTCAGAAATAAATAAAAACAATATCTGCAACATGAGTACATATCCATAACTAATTATTACTTTTTATGAAATGCATGTCATCCTTTAGTACTACAACAATGTGTATTTTTTTTAACTGCCACCATTTACAATGCTCTTTCGTACCTATATTGCTTTACACGCATGAAAGCATACTTCTCCCTCTTCAACACACACCAAATAATAAAAATAACTACAGAACTACATTTAACTTCTTTCACTCTAAGTCTGTAATGGCCAGCTCAGAAAAGTGTAAACACTATTTCTACTACTTTTATCGTCTACTACAGCTATCAAACAGGCAATTTCATCTGCATGAAAAATACAATCTCGGTACTGTGTAGAGCATATTTTTCTGGAAGTTTCTGGTACAGTACATACATACCTATAATATTTATGAGGATATATAGGAAAGCAGCCATGGATGATAAGAATCCAGTATCATTTATAGCTCATCCAATCCTCCACCTGGTATACCGCCCTTCACTTTGTCCAACACACGGTTAACAAAGTCAGTCGTATAGCCAGCTATCTTTAATTCTATGGAAAGGAAAGGAAGAAACGTAAAACAGTATTATCAATAAATATAATAAAAACAATGTTAAGCAGGAAACTATTTGTCTCTGCATTTTGGCTTAAATCATTTAAATTTAAAAACCAACCACTGAATACATCTGAAATACTAGGTTCTCTCACTAAACAGATATCTACATGCACACACTGGTTTGTGTTCACTTTTCCCTTAAGCTTTATATCTAAAGCAGCAGAACATACTGAGTAAAGAATTTACCCAACCTTGAAGCCATTACATAATGCTAAATGCCATTCTAAACACACTGTTTCCTTGTACTAACCTTCAAACCACTACTGGAGTAATATGCATGATATTTAATACTAAGGCCACTCCATTAACAGTAACCTGGGCACCACGTTTAATAACTTCCTCCCTTTAAATCAGCATTAATAATTTCATCTTTTACTTGTTACAATGTTATGAAGAATTATTTTCATTGGTTTGAATTACCTGTTCTCTGATAATCTTGCCTCAGCTACCGTTTGCATCATTCCTTATATTATTATTATTGTTGTTGTTGTTGAGAATAACATACAACACTACTGGCAGAGAATTAACTGAAGATATCCGTCTTCTGGGTTATTGCGCTGTGTAGTCTGGTCGATGTTAACCAACGTTTCAGAGGTCATACTGCCTCCGTCATCAGGGAATTAACTACTGGTGTTTTTCGATCACATGTTAGAACAGCTATGTGCATATGAGCTAAGCACTTGTGCTTCAAGGTTAGTCAGTTTCTAGGCAAACTGGCAGATTATCAAGAAAGTCTATACTATTAGAAGTCATCCAGGCAAAACTTTTAAATTACTAGTAATTATGCAATACTGACAGCAACACCAGTACAACTGAATCAGTTAGTCTATGGTAGACATTTTAAAAAATTTAAGGTTTTAAGTATTTATTATGTAAAATAACATGTAAATTACAAAAAAATCTGTTCTATGATGGATATTACCTGAAATGGTAATTCATGGAACAAAAATTCCAAGAACTCACAGGATTTAATCATCTTCTGGCACATGCACTGGACATAAGAAATTGTGTGTGATGTATTCCATAACCATTACTTTTTGATGTCACAGTATCTAACAGTATTACACTTTGACTTCAACTGTCATATTGCTGTCTGATCAAGGAATTCAATCCCATAATTAAAATTTGCAGTTTTGTCTCACTTTTGTCCACTGATCTTCCTTTACTCAACCAAACCACCAATTTTATCTTCCTACTGGTCTCCTCCTAATGTGTATATCAAAATACTTTCAAGACTATGTCAATTTGTTCCAATTATTTATGTAAGCAGTAGGACTACTTGAAGAGAGTGAATGTCCTAAGATATGCATCTCTAACCATTTACAAGATCAGATTTGGTCAGTAACTGGAGTCTTCACAAAGTATACTTACTTGTAGCTGTTTTGACTACTTTTTCTATGTGCTGTGTAAGTTCCTCCTGATTTTCAAGATTTTCTGTAGTGACCTTTGCTGCCAAAACCTGTTTGATCTGAGAGATACCAGCATTGAGACGCCCTGTAACAATTTTTTTTGTAATAACTAGGCTTTCAGGTTTTCATGGCAGGAAGTCTGAATATGGCAGGCTGTCATCAGAGTTATAGCACCATGTAGTCTGGTAGAAGTTTACCAGGTCCCTGCTGCCTCCATCATCATGGTGGTGAGTACACAGCACTACAACCCAGAAGACAGCCATCTTCTTCGTAATAAGTTTCAAACAGTAGAAACAAAAAGTATGTTTCTCAGTACAAGGCAAATTGAAGCACTTCTATGTGCTCTCAGTGACAAACTTTTTGTATTTTCACAAAAGGAGGAAGTTTTTCTCTACAACTGCAAGAAACTACAAACTTAATCATGTAATGAAAAACAGAATATCATATGGAAAGATTTTATTTTCTTTCAATAATTTTAACTGTTTCATACTTCTCAAAGTTAGATCAAAATTAGTATTTATTCCACGCGAAATATATTTGACATTCCAAATCAAATTTCAGGAAGAAGCCTGTAAGAACACCATTAAGATGGTTGGGGGTAGGTAAAACTGAAAGATCGATCTGTTTATACATACTGTGTTCTTGTTCCAAGCCATACAGCTTCAATTTGTTGGCCTCATGTTGAGCTTTCTTCTTCAGTCGACATGCTCTGAAACATCAAGCCAATCTGTAATCTAACTTAGCATATGCAACAGACAAAGGCAATTGCTTTAGCATCTTTCCTCAATTTCAAAGGATCAAACTATACTACAGATTTCTTATTCAACTACATACTGAGGCATATAGAGATGGTGACCAGTTGACCTTTTAGCATAGCTCTCAACAGCCTTGTTAAAGTTCAAAACACACTGGTTGTAGCAATTTTGTGACAACCAATAACACTGAATATACTTTCACACATTTCTGCTAGACTTGTAAAAATGCAATTTCAATTACAAAGGCGGCCATGACCCCGAGTAAAACAAATATAATGCAATAAGCAACTTTTAATTTAGTAACAACTGGTTAAATGGTTTACCCATTAGTGATAACACATTTTATTGCAGTGATGAAATCACTGACCTGGAAGCAAGTTTGTTCTTCTCTTTTCGTGTCTTAGGTCGTACGTTGAACGGTAATTCACTTACAGGTGTCATGTCATTTATTATCCGCCCTAACTTATCCAGCTCCCTACCAATACTGCACAATTTACGAGGATTGGGCGTTAAATCATTTCCATCTCCTTTCCTTGCTTTACCACTGAAACCACACATAAGTCCATAATTAACACCAAATTATATGAAAAGTAAAAATTACAGTTTTTCATTACAAAATTTTCTCTCTTCATGAAATGTTTTCATTTATTACCACCATTTCCAAATATAAAGTTTCCCATATTTTCAAAGGATTATTAGCTATCTTTTGTTCTCATGACTTTATCCTGCAGTTCTGGTGGTAAGCCATAAACATATACTGAATTTTCTAGACTAACCCAAGCTCCTCAGAAGTGTTTAATAGAGTTTCTGTGTTTGTATCTTAGGTTTTAACCCAATAAACTGACATCAGCATAGACCAGCAGTTGCTGCATCTCATTCAGTCCCAAATCCTCCTGGTTTTCTTGAACCTTCACAATGGTATACTCTAAGTCAGTAGTAATCAACCTTTTTTCGTTCACGTACCACCAGATATAATTTCTTTTCAACTTTGTTCCCCCAAAGTTGTTGGTGTATAATTCAAGTTATACATAGTATATAATCTACATCTAAAATAAATTAAATAAATCACATTACTGATTATTCAGTGTCTATCATAAAATAATATATATATTTTTTTTAAATTTCACGTACCTCCTAAGATGTATTCGCGTACCCCAGGTTGAATACCACTGCTCTAAGTCACTGTTGAAAAACAATTGCAATGAAGCACCTCCTTGTTTCAGATTGTTCTGAACAGGAAATGTATTGGCAGACAATAAATGTGCTATAAAAACTTCTAATACTTACCTATGTTTTATTCCTCTTACTGAACACTCAGGACTGAACACTGGATCTGTAACTTCATTCAGAACATGCGGGTCTTCTAAACGAGTCTTTAGTACAAGACGTTGTCCTTTTGGTCCTTTAGCTTGCACATTGTACTGCCAAAAGTAGCGTTCTTTCTTCGTCATGGATGAAGACAGTTTTGACATACTAGGTTCTCCATCACTTATTGTAGATTCTAAAAAAGAGATAGTGAGAGCTGCAACTAAACACGACACCAATGGTAAAAAGAAAAAGGTCCCTTTGTATACATATATATTAATGACGTGTGAAAGTAGTAATTTTCTACCTCTGGGGTTATATGAGGAATGTATACTAGAAGTCTTTTTCAAACTGGGTCACAACCCATCAGAGGGTCATGTAAAGTAATTCACTGGTTGAAGCTCATCAGATAATGTCATGAAAAATGTTACTTGAAATACATATCAGTAATTTTTTTACAAATACCATGACAATGTTTATCCCACTCCCTGTACTGTGGTGCACATAAGCATTACTAAATTGTGATTTTGCATATGTATCCATGCTGGGATCAGTACCCTGAAGTAGATGATACATGCAATTTACATATGTATCGTTTCATCCTATAGCTTCATGACAACATTCTGAAATGTCAGTATTAATCAATATAAATCAACCTGCATCTGATGAGAAGTCTTCATAGTGATCACTATCATCTTCAGAGTCAAAGCCTTCATCATGTGATAAGTCGTGAGATTCAGGACTCAGGACACCACCTGTCATTACAAATAAATATAAGAGTAATCAGATTTCTAAATGAAAAGCCAATCATGTGAAGTCTGTTCAGTTTTACATAACTTAGTGTATGGCTATCTAACTCAACTAATTTGGTTGTTTTTAACCTCCTAACAATAAAATAATAAAAGCAAGTAAGGGAAGGATACAGAAGCTGCATATGTTCTTCACAGTATTAACTTTATATAACTATACATCACATTGAATACAGATCATTTAACTCACCTAATCGATCACTGAATTTCAGTTTCTCTAAAAGTTACTATACTTAAACTACTAAATACTACTACTCAGAAGGGACATGTCTACTATAGTAACATTACATTCTGTCTAAGGAAACCAAACCTCTTTTAAACTGGTAAAGTGTTTGGAAAAATATGCCCATGGCATGAAAGTATGGAATTAAATGTAACTGAAGAAATTATCGATGTTCAACATATTGGTGAACCCAGATTTGTCACAAACCTCCTACAGAATATCAGTTATACACATGCGAGGCATACCAGTTGACAAAGAAGATGTGGATCCTGCTTCAGCTAAAGAACCAGTAGACAAAAGATGTTGGCGTGGTTCTCTGCGCTGCCAGATCTGCTCCAGTCCAAGGTGTGTGGGGGCAGAGGAAGAGAGTCGAGAGCTGGAACCTGCGATGAGAGTGCCTCTTCCCATTCGGTTACTGGGGGCTGAATCAAGTCCCGAGGAGGCTGTCATTGCAGTTATGGGACTTGCAGGGCCAGGAACAGACTGTCCCAGCAGTTGCCGATCAGGAGATGCTGAGAATGCTTCTTTTTTCAACAGAAGCTCATGCAAAGTGCTATGTTTCTGTTGTAAGGGGCTGATACCTAAGGGGGGTGGAGTGACTGAGGAGGCAGCTGAATGCAGCAAAAGGGAGGAACTTGAACTATGGTGACTTGTTGTAGAGAGAGCATCAGAACATGTCACAGCACTATTACTATTTATCTTACCAAAAGGGTCCATAGGGCTAGATGGAACACTAGAAGAGGCTGCAAATGAATCTTTGTAGAAGCCAAGACTAGCTGGTGGAAAAGATGATGGGGTGAAGATGCTAGAGTTCTGGCTATTACTGTATGCATTGGAGTTTGTGTTTGTGACTTGCACTAATGGCGGTACATTTGTGATGGCATGTCTTGAATGTGAAGCTACTGTTGGCACACTGATATAATAACTGTTTTCCTCTGGCAGCAGAAGATCATCAAAGTTTAAATCTTCAAGTAAATTCTCATCATTGGCATTAAGTTCTGCCAGTGTTGGACCCTGTATCAGGTCAGCTTTGTCAACTTGAAAAATATCATCATCATCCATGCGGAATGTATCAGTTCTGTTTAGCTCAGTCTCTGTATTTAGTCGTGACCCCCACATTGATGAACCTGATATTGTTTGGTACAAAGCAGATGAACCTTGAAGTGCTGCAGTTGTGACTGTGCCAGTATCATGAGATGTAGATGGTGATGAAGATACGTCAAGGAAATCAAAACCAAAATCCCTCAGTTCAGAAAGATCCATCATTTTTCGAGGAGGAATTGGCATACTTGCTGTCATGCAACTGTTTGTATCCATTGATACTGGCTCTTGCTTCACTGTAAATCCTGGATCTAGGAAAAAGTCTCCTGAATACACAGGATCAGCCATGTTACGGTTGGTTTTGTAGATTTATTTCCTGCCACCTTAAAGAGCCGACATTTCTTTCTGTAACACAGAACCAAATAAACAGTTTCCATTTTGTAAATAAAAACTTCTATTCAGACAAATCACCATGCCATATTAAGATAATTTTGTCACCTTCAGATTGGGCACATTTGTTGTGGGATAATATTATGCTGACAAAACACATACACGTGCAATATGCCTACTCCAAACGCTGTCCTTGGACCTATTTATAACCTTGGCAAGGAAAGAAGGACAGCACTCCAACTGTACTTCACTGCAGTTTGTCAAATTCAGTATATCGTTTTAAAGCTATTATATACAGGTAACATATGTTACATAACAATATCCATTCACTACTTTTATTTACCAACAGGGCTGTGATACATGATAAATGTTATATATGTGACGTTAGAACTGTAGAACTTACAAAACACTCCGACTTGTTTTGATTGCACAACACGATGCACGATGATAAACAAACCACCTAGGACAAACATTATCATACTCATACACTTCAAACATTAGAAAATAACTTTATAATTGTCGACAACCGTATTTACCAACACATTAAACGACATGTCGATGACATTCCACCACGAATTTCCACATATACCGATTTTCATTGTACCTTACCTCCGACAGCAGAAAACACTGTGCGCTAGTAGTTTCCCGCGCTAATCACTCATCAGTATAGGACAACAACACGACCATGACTTTTCAGATTCACATAACGCCACTAAACACTAATATTACTTGCTAACAATTGAGCGACACTTTTTACTGTATCTTTAATTTGTCAATAATGTGTTTTTAGACCTCGATTACACTATTCAAGCATTTATTTTCCCTTTCCTGGGACGAGTAAACACTCAAATATGCAACGTTACTCTACGCTCACAGTAGAAATTACTCAAAGGTCACATGAGCACGATCAATCGACTGGTATCTCAACCAATCATGAAGCCTAACATTTACTGTCCACCAATAAGCGGATTTGTTATGATCTGTCGACCCACCTCTACGTTGAAGAACATGAAGAAGAATCTAGAATAGATCCAATATTTATGGAGTTCTTTCAAAGTTCATTAAATATGTGCACATTTTAAATAACGATAATTTATATAATTAAGTAACAAAAGATGCAATTTTTAAAGTTCTGATTGCAATACTTTGCGTTTATCATTGTAAGCATATTGTTTCAGAAAGGAAATTAAATTGTTATGATCAGTCAATTTTTCTGTTCCCCATTATTGAAACAACTCATTGACGTCATATGGACGTCAGAGTAATTTTGGCCTTCTGGCCACGTGAATAACAATTTGTACAGGCTACAATGGAACAACATCGTCTAAATTTTGGAAAACCTGAAACATTAATACAAAACAGAACAATTTAATTTCGATGAGAACTGTAGTAATGATATGCTTATGGTTGCTTGCGAATAATGTGAATATATGTTTTCAAAAAACTGTAGGAGAAAGATTTTGTGAGCAAAGATATTAGGCGTAGAATTTTGTTTAAAAGAACCCTGAACTATGGCAACAGTGAATCGAAGTACAGCCAACGGAACTTTCGTGTTTATAGTTCGATCCTGGAGTCGATAATTTCTCGAAACTAATTTAAGGGAGTTCAGGGTTTTCGAACATGCATAATGGCGTATTCTGATTTTGGTCTTCATAGTAGTTAATAATAAAAATGCATTCAGTTATTAACTGTCACAAATCAATAGCTGTTAAAACCAAAAGTTTCGTTAGTGGTAGGTGTAACATTCTGTTCGACTAAAGCTCAATTTATCCATCATACTATGCAATTTGTATCACTTGAACGTAAATCGTTGAATGTATAATGTTTATTTAATTGTTAATTTTTTTCAGGTGGTTGTCGTTGTCATCAGTGGAATGCTGTATATGCGTATAAATACGGTAGGCGGTTGTATAGACCATGCCAAATTTCATGCCCAGTCATTTCAACTCGTCTTGTGTCGACCATCGTTAGCTGTAATAATGGGACTCTGCAAAATGTTATTCAGCTTAATGTCGTACGTTCAGTAAACAGTTTTATACAAGACAGCACATTACTTCCATTCATCCCCACAAACAGTTGCATGGTAAGGCATTTGTATGTTGGGTATCAATTGTATGACAAAGAACCTTTAAAACCCTCATCCAAAATTGAAGAAACTGTTCAAGCTTTAAAGGAAGACTTAAAAGATAAACCTTCTGTTGCTGTTGTGGCAGAAAAACCTCCACTTCTGAAAAGAATTAAGAAGAAAATTGTTGATGAAGCACTTCACTATTATCATGGTTTTCGTCTTCTGTTTATTGACATCAATATATCAAGGAAGCTGGCATGGAGGGTTCTGAATGGAAAGTCTCTCACTAGAAGAGAGCATAGACTGGTAATTATAAAATTGCACAATTTCCTTGTCAGGAATTTTGAAGTATTCAATTGAATATTGGGTAAGCCCATTTTGCATCTAATAAGTTATGTTCTTATGTTGATGCTTTAATTGTAGTGTTGCCAACTATGATATCTTTTGTGACCTTTAGTTTTTTTATTCAGAACATGATACATGCAAATCCTGTGATGTCCCTGTAGTGTATATGCTGAACTCTGCATATGTTACAGGTGTCATGTGAGAACTGACATCAGAACCTATGTTATAGATCATATGGAACCAGAAACATTAGATGAAATGCTATATGCACTGAGGGAGCATGGATGTTACCCATTGGCTTGAATATATTTGTCACATTTTCAAAACAAGTCCTGACTCTCATGCTCTAGTTCTGTGGATAAGAATTAAGACACCATCAAGTTTAATAAGATTGCTTGATTGATTCTTGAATTATTTAATGTTGTGTATGTGTGAGAATCAGTAGCCTTCTTGAAGTAATTTTTGTTTCCAGATTTATTGGCATGTTTATGTTTCTAGAACTTGAAGATTTCTGTCTTCTGGGTTGTTGCGCTGTGTAGGCTGGTAGATATTTACCAACGTTTCAGAGGTCATACTGCCTCCATAATCAGGGCAATGATTGAACTTGTGTACAAGATTCAAATTACTGTTCAATCTACCAACTATTGTTATAATCTAATTTTCACTGCAAATAAAATCCAGGACATCATATATAAAATCCATGTTTGCATGAAAATAATATACTTTTCTGCCATTCCATGCGTGTTTTGTATTGCGAAGAATGCCTTATTGGAGAGGTAATATATCTGGCAGCTTGTCTTTCTATCTGTGTGTGTGTATTTCATTACTTAAAGCATCTCATGGTGATAGGTGACATTTTGTATGGGATATGCTGCCCAAGTGTTGTCCATTGTCATTGATTTTGTTTTCTTTCTGTTCATTTAGTTGGTGCAGACAGTGTCAGATTTATTCAGATTAGTCCCTTTCTCAGTATTCATTATTGTTCCATTTATGGAATTGCTGCTTCCTGTGGCTATTAAATTGTTTCCAGGCATGCTTCCTTCTACTTTCCAGACTGCAACTGAGAAAGTAAGTGAAGAATTTCAATTAATATGCATGATACTTGTGCAGACAGTTACATTAAATCTTTGTAACCATATTACTTTTTAATGTATTGACCTATATATTTTTTTAATTTCAGGACCAAAAAATGAAACAGGCCCTTAAAGTAAAATTAGAAATGGCTAAATTTCTCCAACAAACTTTGGATGGTATGGCTGTTCAGGGCAAGGGGCGAAGCTCTGAAGCTGCTAAGGAGTTTGCAGAATTCTTTGTTAAGGTGAGCAGTCTTTTCAGTTTGCCCCATTTTGGTGCTTTGCCATCTGTACATAGTGAACTTGTCAACTTGTGGAGTGGGAATAGCCCAACACTTGATATGCACCAACACCACCAGTATTTATTGTAGTTCCTGGAAATTCTATGTTGTGATAAATTAATTAGAAATGTGCAGCCCTTAATGGGGTAATTTTGTAGTGAAATTTTATTTTTCCCCCTCCCCAGTCATCTCATACTCCATCATAGGACAGTATTAATTTCTTATAGGGTGTAGGAGCTTTACATTCTTTCATAGTTCTTCATCAATACTTTAATACTGTGTATGTAATTGAAGAAATAATGAGATTATTTAAAATTGTATGAGGATGAGATTGGTCTTCATTAATCTTTTAAATACTCACAGGTACGCACATCTGGAGAACAAGCAACCAATGAAGAAATAATGAAATTTTCAAAGTTGTTTGAGGATGAGATTACCCTGGATTCATTGTCTCGACCCCAACTTATGGCATTGTGTCGAGTACTGGAGATACAGCCAATTGGGACGAATAACTTCCTAAGATTTCACCTTCGGATGAAGGTCAGAAGTCTGGCAGCTGATGACAAGGTGCACATGTGACTTTACATAACATTGTACTGCAGTAGTAATGATAGCTGTCTTGAATGTGATGATGTTGATGTTGAATTTGTGTGCAGTATACAGTTTTTGAATTTTATTTATGAATATTTTAAAAGAACATGACATGAATTGGTATCTTACATAGTGTCTTTATGCATTGCTGAATAATTTTTCTCGGCAGGTCTGTTTAGTTTGCACCCAGCATATGCACTGAGATTTTCTTTTCAGTCTTGCATTTTGAAAATAATAGCTCCATTATTGATGTGTGTCATCTGAACTGAATTTAAAAACTGTGAGTATGTAGAAATTTGAATGCACCCTCAGAAGTGAATATGTTATGTTAGCTGCCATTTTATAGCCCCAAAAGGTCTTTGGTAATGTTAAGAATGGTTGACTGGTGATTGTTGTATAGCTATGACCATTCTGGAAGTGCAGCATTTGATTTGTTGTTAGTTGGCTAACAAGCCAATTTACAGTGAGATCTTTACTGAGTGCTGCAGCAAATCGTGTATCAGCCACCATGAAGTGAGCTTATGTATTATGGTCCAGCTAAATCCTAAATTCCATGTTGCTTTAACTCCTGATACTGTACTCGACATATGCAAGAAGCAGACATTTACTCAGTTTATTTCCTGTGTTGAAATGCTGTGTGCAAGTTGCATGGAATGAGAGTTTGTGCATAGTACCTATGTTAAAATGGTTCTACAAGTAAAGAAAGAGAAGATTTCAGCATAAATTTCAGGATTTAGTTCCATATAGGGGAATTGTTTATAGAATTGTAAATTCATTAAGACAGGCAGGATTGCTCACTGAAGAGAAGTTAGATGAAATTGGTAGCTAGACTTTCATATACTTCTTCAAAATCCCCAAACTCAGCTTATTTTATTTTTATTTGTGAGAAATTGTTAAGCAAATGTTTACAAATTAAACCTTCACACCATTGAAGAACTGAAGGAAATTTTACTCAGTTTACCAAGAACAATGTTGTGTGAATGTGAAGTCTTCAAGGAGGTGCCAGGAATGAGTGCAAAACAAAAGAGCATTTCTAGTATCGTCTATAATTTGTGTTTTTTATTTTAAATGTTTTTAGAGCATAGGTTTGTCAGTTTAACTAGCAGTCTTATTCTCTGGGACACATAATGTGAGGAGTGTTGAACTCTTCAGTATCAAAGGTTCTCTGGTGAGCAAGATGCTCAGAAATAATCTCCCTTTATGTTCTCAGAAAGACATCACTGAACCCTTCATGCTCTGTTATCCATCATTACTGGAATTTAATATCCTTCCACTTATAGAAGTAATAACTGAATGAAGAGGACAGAGGAGAATGTAACTATTTTCTTTTGATTTCAGGCAATACAAAAAGAGGGCATAGAATCTCTCACCCCATCAGAGCTCCAGCAGGCTTGTAGAGCTAGAGGTATGAGAGCATATGGTATGTCTGAGGATGTACTCAGGACTCAGCTAGCGCAATGGCTTGAACTGAGCCTTGAAAAGAAAGTTCCTCCGTCACTGTTGTTGCTGTCTAGAGCTCTTCTTCTTCCAGACAGGATCCCAGCGAGTGATCAACTGAAGGCTACGATTTCTGTTCTCCCTGATACTGTTGTAAGTTAATTTGTTATCAAGACATTTAGAAAGTTGGTTTCAGGTTTTGGTATGTTTTGTGGGAAGAAAATTACCATTATTTATATATATATATATATATATAACTGAAAAGCACAGTGATGTGTGGTGATGAAGTTGAGCAAATAAAGAGGAACAAAAATTTCTACTGTTATAAATGTTTATTTGGGGATTGATTGCCAGAGTATCAATGAACAAGTGATGATAAAAGTAGGACATATTGTAACTTGGTTACAGATGGCATTTGGATGTAGCAGCTTATGTGCTGTGGACTTGTACAAAGAATAAAGAAAGATGAAAGATGCAGCTTATAGGATACAAACATGGACAAAGAATTTGATGCACCCAGTTAGAAAATGAGTGTAAATAGTGAAAGCTTATAGTATTTGTAGATTAATTCTTTCTTTAAATTACAGTATTAGAATCTTTTTCTAATTCTTATGTAGCAAAGTGCCATTTGGACATGTTTCTATAAAAATTGCAATAACTTTAATTTTTTACCAAAATTTATAAGTTTCACATCATTGCATGAAGTTTCCATAACTTAAATGAGCTTCATTTGGGGTATGGTGTACCTACACTCATAGGCTTGCAGGAACAAGAAATTGTCAAGATTTGGTTTAGCTTCTATTGCATAATTTATGGTTTGTTGACCAAATAGATAGTGAGACCACATACCTATGTGTTTATATTAAAAACCATTTATTCTATTAGTTTTACATTGATCCTCTTGTTTTATCAGGTAACTCAGACAAAGGCAGCTATTGGAGAACGTGAGGGTAAGATAGACAATAAGACAAAGATTGAAATCATTAAGGAAGAAGTACGCAAAATTAAGGAGGAACACCAGGAACAAAAAGAAGAAGAGAAGAAAGAGATAGAGAGGGTTAGTACAATTTTGTATTTACACTCTGTTTATTGAAAAACAGGCACTAAGTTAATGGCAATTTCATATCTACCTAATCATTTTCATCTTTGTGTGTGTGTGATTTAATTTATTTATAACAAATTTGTTCTAAGTGGTAACAGTTAATGAGTCCACTTTGGAAGTTTGCTGCTTTCATGTTGGTTTTGATCCTGAGTAATTAAGTAATATTATTATTATTATGAAATATCTTGAAACTCAGTCACTTAATTGGAAATTATGAAGAGGAGGGAGTAATGACATGTATTAACTATGTATAAAAGATAAATATGTATATGTAGAGGGAGGTCCTTGTTCTATAACATACAGCATGTGCATCTCTCATGTGGCAGAAACTATCTGGCATAGAATTTAAACATTAACCAAGAAATGTTTATTATGCTGTACTTTTAGTAGCTCATATATGAATGTAATCATCCTTCGATTAAGCTCTAATAGTGTGCTGGTGCAATTGTTGGATATGAGAAAGCTTATAGTTTTAATGAAAGAATTTTCCTGTATTTTTTGGGAGTAACTGTGAATAATATGTCTGATATTAGTTGGAATGATGTGTATTGGGAGATGTTCATTTTGTAGTTTGTGTTTTTCAGTGACTGGAATGTATGGACAAGTTTTACATGCTAGAACATGTTGGCTGCAGTATACTTCTTTAGTTGGTTATTCAGTTACTTTATAATGGTGGGCCATATGTTGAATTTACTTTACATTGAAAGAAATATGGTAGCTTGTGTATTATAAATAATAAGATGTGTACAGATGGAAGTTGACAATATCAGTTTTTATGGTACTGTCCTGGAATGTGTGTGGATGGATTGAGGAATCCCATAAGAAACGCAGTTAGGAGCCACACTTGATTATGTTTCTTCAGAGATCAAAGTAACATTGCAAAAGACACATTTAATCTGAAGGATGGTGAGCAAGAAATTTAGTTTTTCTTGCATGTATGATTTTGTTGTATTAAATTATTAAAATTATGACACACTGTTTTCATGATTAGGCCATCTGTTCTATTTAATACATGCTGTACCATACCATAAATTCACTATGAAATATGAAGTCATGGTTTCACTCTTATCTGGGCTACTGAAAAAGTATCATTAAAAAAATAAAAATAAATATAACATGTGTCATTAAATATTTTCCCCATAGGAAGAAAAGGAAATGCTTGTGGACAAGGCTCCTATTATCACTCAAGATGATGGTGTTCAACCTGAAATTCTTCGTGCTACTGCAGTTGAGGAACAACCAGTTATAGATTTAAGCAGAAAGGAAAAGGCATGTGTCTGCTTATTAATTTACATTTATATCTTTCCAGCTGAATTATGCTTGGCTAGTTGGTTACCTGCATTGTTGTTGGTAACTGAGTATACTTTATTTTAATACTAATATTCATTCTATTTTTTAAAAGTATTTTCATACTTATGGTATCTCATTTATTCCTTTATGTGCTAGCAATTGAAACATTTTTAATTGAATTCAGAGTACATAATAAATTTTTTGGGTTATATAAAATATGTATCCATAAGTTTTCTTATGTAGTTATATAGGTGAACTTTTATCTGATGCATTTCCAGTTTATATTGGACTAAAATAAGCCAGTACTTTATTCTGACTGGCTTTCAATTATGCTGTAGAATATACCATCTGGAAAGTCCAGAAGAATCAGGAAGAACTGAAATTAAATGACTGAAGTTTGATATTTGATTTCCAGTGGAATATACATCCAAAATTTGTAATACACCTGTTTATGTTCCTAAGGAAAATTGTATGTTCAACTCACCTCATTCTCTTTATTTTATAACATAGCTGATGTATTTGTTATTTTAACTTTTAGGAGTTGACAACCATGGACTTTGAAGCTCTTGAGGATGCATTGGATACATTAAGCAAGGATAAAAAGATTCTGGTTGAAAGGGAACTGGATGATTTAAAGGAAGAATTGGCAGAATACCAGGAGGTAAGTGTACCATTGTTGTTTCCCCTCACATTCTTTCCAGTATCCTTTCATCTTAATCACTTCTGAGAAATGTTTGAAAGTTATCACAATGTTGTTAAGCGATGACTGTCTTTCCATTACAGAATTTATAGTTCTTACTAAATTAAGGCATTCTTTAAGTTACCTAGCTAATTATATTAGTCTTAATGTGTAATAAACTATATATATACCTGTGTCAATAGGATGTTGATGATCTAAAGAAGGTAGTGAAGGTACTGGACAAGTCAAAATCGGAAGTACAAGAATCTAAGGCAGCTAGACGCTTATTTAAGAAGGTGAACAGTATGATAAGTAAGATGGATGATGTTCTGGAAGAGCTTGAACGTGAAGAAAAGAAACTCATAAAGGACCTAGAAGCAAAGGAACGTCTTGAAGGAAAAGAAACACAACAAAAGAGGTAACTTACTTTGTAAATGTACAGTGAATTCTATATATTAAAACTTTTACACAGGAAAGTCCTGGAGTGGTGTGTTTCATATACATATACACACGCATATAGTCAGAACACACACACTTACTGTCCAGATGAGATTCTTATACTAAGTACAATTTGAGGTTTTCATGATAACAAATATGAAGATGGCTGTCTTCTGCTGCCTTGCTGCTTACATCATCACAGCCCTGATGATGGCAGTAAGGACCTCTCAAACATTGGTAAATTTCTACCAGACTACACAGCACTACAACCCAGAAGACAATCATCTTTATTTGAATACTGATTCAATGTTAACATTTGTATTATCCTCTGACCCTGCAAAGACTGATCTCATACAATCCATCTGTGCCATGGACGTTGAACATAGAATGCTGAAATATGAAATTGTATGGTCTAATAAAAAATTTTAGATTCTCTTAGCAGTGAAGACCATGTGGTTTCCATGTAGGTTTATAACAAAGTCTCAGAGGAACATATAAACTCTATCTTCGCCCATCTCAGCCTGAAGATGGAGGTGGTTTGTTCCTTTTAAATATTTATAACCACCCACAAGACCATATTGCATCACAATCGAAGAATCAGAGTCAAAGATTTTAATTAACTTTAACCCTTTTCCAGTGAAGAATTGGTGAGCATCGAGGAATTGAAAGATGCTATCAAGAGAATTCAAAAGGTTCCAGATGATTCCCTGGTAGACAGGATATCTGAGGTACTGGCAAAAATGGATATTGACAAAGATGGAGCCATCAGACTTGATGATGTACTTAAGGTAAGCATCTGGCTTGAGAAATAAAGAAAAAATGAGCAAGGAAATGACTGTATAATTAAATATTTCATGAAGTTTCATCTTCTTCAGTTAGAGAAACATTCTGTCTAGGATTTCTCTAGTTTGTGAGGCAATGTTTGAAATTGTTATTCCCTAATATTCATGAGCTAAATCACTATTTATTATAATGAAGTTTTATAAAGTTAACCTGTTTGTGCATATAATTTTGTTCTGGGATGTGTTTGTATTTGTAGAGTAAGAAGTGACTTTATCTTAAATTATATGTAACAAATATGAGACCTTCATTAATGCTGTATATTTAGTCTCCTATTGATTTTTATATACATTTTTTAAAACCTACTAAATTTGAAAAAGGCTGGCTTTGTCAAATAATGAACAATGGATCCCCTTCCTGTCTTTTAAAATAAAAATTAAGTGCTTGAAAGTTCTTGTCACATAAAATTATTTCAGACTTCTTATTGAAATGTGCCAGCACTCTGATTCTTCAGAGAATTTCAATTTTCATAGTTTGATTGTAAACCAGCCGCTCTGGCATAATGCCCTTTTCAGTTGTTTAAGTGGATAATTCCTTTAACAGGTAGTTGAATTGGTTGGCAAAGAAAATGTTAAACTCAACAAAAAACAAATTGATGATATAATTGACTTAATGAGTAAAGAAGACCTGCTCGAGTTAGAAGAACAAATTGAGAAAGCACTAGAGAAAGGTAATCAAGAAAAAGGAGAAACTTTAAAGGGAAAACAATCTGGAAAACAAGAAAAGGAAGCTGTAGTAAAGGCAACTGTAACAGCACATGATGGCAGAAAGAAAGAAAATGACCCAAGTAATGATAAATCAACATCATCAAATCTTGCTGCCATCTCAGCTGCAGCACCCACTCAGCCACCTAATGTAACTGAACCTGTTGATAAAAAGGATAATTCCAAAACTCTATGATTAAACAAGCCTCTATTTTATTGTATTAATTGTAAAATGTATTAGTAAAAGAAATATCAGTATGTTAATATTGAATAATATAAATAGCTCATTTATGAGCAATGTATTTCAGTAAACTGACTGCATTTCAGTATATATTTATCTTACTACCATGCCATGTATATAAATGGAACACCTTTTGCTTTATTAATGTTTAATATCATACTTGGTGCAAATAAATTATTTGAAGTGGAATCCAGAGACAGCATTTATACTTGTATAAAAGGGTTCCAATGTGTAGTAATACAGGTCACATTTGAGAAGAGATTAAGCAAACTATGGGGTCATATAGACTTAAATGTGAGGAATAGGTGTTATTCTTGACACTGAAAACAAATGTTTGGTTCTTCGTATATGAAACACTTATAATTAAAGTTGGTGACAAAAAGTATGTTTTAGAAACAAGTTTTCTGCAGTTATTAGATTGTGTCCACTGGAATTAGTATGGGTCTTCTTCCTTTGATGTAAATAAAATTAAGAGTTCATGCACAAATTTATGTCATGATACAATTAGTATGGTTTTCACATAGAATTACCACCTGTGTCAGGTTGGCTTTGACTTTGTTTTACTTTATAAAATGTACTGTGAATGTACATGTTATGTAGGATGTATTTTATATGATGGGGTATAATTTAAATGTGTATAAATTTTGCAAAAATTATACATCTGTAGATCTATATTGACTGAAACAGTTATGCAAATTTAGATTTTTTTTCTGAAACTGTTTGTGAAGTAATCTTTTTTATGTGCATATAATCCCATCATTACATTCATGGACATGTCTTGATTTCATGAAAGAACACACTGAAGTCAAATAAATTATGATAGGTAACCATACCTTTGCTTGATTGTGTAATGAACACATACAGGAAATAACAAATATCACAAAAGCTTTGGACCATTACTTAGTTCAGATGTATCATAATTTTTGTTCCAGTGGTTTAGGTGTTGTTATACCTGCTTCATTTTTCAGAAATCCCATGTTTGATTCTTGGCCCAGAGACTGCCTATCTTGACAGATATGTAATTTTTCACTGTCCCTGCAAGTAAATGCTTTCATAGTACCTTAATAAAGTCCACAACCACTTCCTTGTATTTAATTTCCAGTTAAGTGTTTAGGATTATATTGCCATTTTAACCTGTGTAAGTGATGCAATTGAAAACATAATTAAATGAACCAAGAATCATAAAGATTTATTTACAGCTGCATAACTTTTCCTTCCTTTGACTGACTGTACTTTGGTAAGTTATGTAAATTTATTTTGGTAAAATCTAGCAGCAAAGCTGTGGGAACTGTTCTGTATTTTCATGCAGAAACAACAGCAGCTGGTGTGTATGATGTGAAAGCTATAAAGTATTTATCTTAGTTGATAACAACTGCAAAATTAGACGCACACATTAGTATTTCACTGGCACTGTACATTACCATTATCAACATAACCTTGTACAAAACTGCAACATTAAATTACAAAAGTAAATTGAGTGTTGTAGAAGAGCTATATATTTTTTATATTGATAATGCAGTAGAAAATTCTCTACTGATTGTTTTCTGCCAGAAGGCTAAACAACAAACTTTTGGCATATGAATTTTGATGCTGGAAGGAGTTGAATGAGATTTCAGGTTCACCATGCAAGTATAAAGATGACAGTTTTCTGGGATATTGTGCTGTATAGTTTTATAGAAGTTAGCCAACATTTCATAGGTACTTACTGCCTCCACCATCCAGGTGATCAATAAGGACTTAATGGAATTGTTGTTTAAATGAGCATTGGCTTTAAATTGTTAAAGAAAGATGGATATGCTTGTCATTCCATCAGGATCAGTCCAGTTGTCCATATGCATGTTGGGATGTGGGTATTTGCATACTTCATTTTTGAATTTTTGGAGTGGTAAAGTTTATTAGTTTAACGTATCAGTATAACTGGCTTGTCATCATCTGGGTTGAGACATGTGATCTTGTAAAGTGTCAAATTAGCTTTTGCAGATTTGAAGTCTGCCTGGGCTACTGGCCATGTGTTATCTTTATGATTACATATATCAAAAATCAGTTTTTGTTTAACTCCATACAACAGGAATAAATTATTATTTGTACATCATTATTAAACATTATGTGCGAAAAATGGGTTCATGTTATACGAAATTATACTATTAGTGATTTTAAGAAAACCAGATATTTCTGCATGTTGCCGCGAACTGGCGTGTTACTTTTTTATGTGACTGTACCTGTCTGTGAGGTCTATGACATATACTTTTGTGCATGTACTATATTTACCCAGCTTTGTTATTTGTTTTGGTATGCTAGATTAAACGACTGATGGTTGACTTTGACGACTATACAGTAATTCCAGTGTTAATGGCATTATCAATTACATATTTTGAAGGTCCCTCAGCGATCATAACGTAGGTTTCGCGCGCAAAAGTAACTAGCGCTAGCGTTTGCAGCAGAGGCGCCATTGTTCGGAAACTGAACCAATCAGCCATGTTTAATATCTGGTGGGGTGTGTTGGGTCTGAACGGGGTGAACATCATCCCTACAAACATTCAGGTGAGGAAGTATTCCCTTTATTTTAGAATGTTATTGTTAGTTAATGTTGGAAGATATATGTTTAATGTTTCAGTGAGTAAAATTTGGCAGAGCAGAACATACCATTTTCAAAATGAGAGTTTCGCAATCAGCCCGTGTGACTCAGGGAATGAAGACCAGAACTTCCATCTTCTCTCTGTGTTAGACTTGAAGGAGTAGTATGTCCCTCAGCGACAAAATAAAATGTTGTGCATGTTGAGATATAAATTAAATTTTGTGTCTGGATTTACTTGTTTTGGCAAACATGCTAATATTGCGATATAGTTAGCGGCTTTCGTCGCTATTTGAAGTTTGCAGTTCTTGGCATAGGTGGAAGACGGTGTTGGTTCTAAAGTGATTATGTTGCTCATGAGAAAAAGTCTACACGTGAATGTACGAATACAGGCACCTGGATTTCATTCGTAATGATTTGGGTCAGCTGTACCTTTTTCTGCATAATGGAATGGTATTTTATTTCTTGGTAGGGTGGGTTAGTTTGTAAGTGTGGATTTTATGAAACACTGGATTGGTAAGCTATTTTAAAAAAACTTATAGCTCTCCATTGAATGTCTATGTTAGTTTGTTTATGCACATTCTTGGATACTTTAGAGAGTTGTGAATGTTTCTGTTGCCATCTCAGCTCTGAAATTTTTTTGATGATTACACATTTGTATAAGAATATTTGAGTGAAGCCTTTTTTCTTCCCTTTATTGGAATATCATGAGGTTGTACCATAAGACAGTGGACTTCATAATATTGCAACTGCAAATATACCGGAGTTTAGTGGTGACTACGACAATATTTTAACATATCTTGACACTGAAAATCTTTTGCATGTCTTATTTTCCTTTTCTTATAATTTTCATTCATGTATGTTGCATGCCATTTTCAAGGAACATTTTTTCTTTATGAGACTGACTTGCAGCTGCAATGATTCGAGTGATCGTTGACTTTATACATTACTTTTAATTCCAATTTGTTTCTCCTACACCACAGTCCTACCATTGAGAGAGAGAGAGAACATACGAAATAATCAAAGGATTTAAATTAATTACAAAATCTTTCTTAAGGTGTTGGAACACTAGAACTAGACCCATACTTGTTGAGGATGAGTATAAAAAAAAGCACAAACTATACATTTGATGCTACTACAACACATGCTACAGAATAAAATTAGTATTATATAATATTAGTAACATAGATGTCAGCGTTACAAATGTGTAATTCTTATCTAGATATTTACGACTGGAGTTCAATATATAACTTATGCTGTCAGATGGGAGATACCATTTTCACGTTTAAAATCACAACTACAATGTTTGCTGAAACGGTTAGCACCAACTATTCGACGTGGTTCTCTTGTGAAAGCAGAAGTTACACATTACAAATGTGTTTGAAAACACATGTAGGTAGTAAATGCTGCCATATGTCTCTACAAATCATGTCTTAACTAGTAGGTCTTAATTAGTAGCACAGAGCCACAATTCAAACTTAGTACGTCCTGAATATAATTATAAGAGCATCAACACTACATGTATCAGTTTGCTGTCATTGTTTGAGGCAGAAAAATTGTTATTGTGTTCGGCTACAGATTGTGCTGCTTGCATGAGATATTTTGATATATTTATTGTGTGCTTGTGTATGTATGTACATGCATGGGGGTTTCCTTCTGCATTCTGTTTTGTAATGAATATTGTGTTTGAGACCCACTGTTACTTCCATATTCTGAATAACTTGATTACCTAAGATTTCTGTCACATTTCTTATGTAGACTATAAATTTTGTTGGCTGATTACGGTATGATAATTTATTCCACAGTGACATGAAATTAATTGAAAGATGGTTTTATGATCCTTTTTCCACATTGTTTATTATAGGAATAGTGAGCCTTTTTGCTGCCTGGTGACAAATTTACATCTAAAATTTCTTATGGAGAAGAAGTATCAACTGTCCTTGCTCCAATACTCCCGTGATGGAATTGTGAGATGAATATCTGTTGCTGCACATTTTTACACATTTCTTCATTTCTTGGCTTGCATGTGGTTGTTAATAAAGTGATAGAATTTTTTGTTTGTGTACGAAGTTGCATCTGCACGTCTGTGTTACGACACAGAATGAGGTAACAGTAATAAGCAATATTAAAAGGAAAATAAAGCATTGTGTGTTTTTAAGCTATATTTCTCTTATTTAACCATATGTTCTGGAATTTGGGGTAGAAATGGAGTAACAGCATACATGCATTTTAACAGGTAAGTATGGTTTTATGAAGTAGTGAAGTTGCTGTAGGTGTTAATGTGGACAGAACCTATAATTATCAGTGTTAGATAGTGTCAGAGGTTTGGAAAACCTGGTTTAATATTTTATTTGATGCTGACATGGAATGGCAGGTTTATAGCGAGCAGATTTAATGTTGATGGTAATGTGTTTTACCCACAAGAAAGAAATATTATTGTGATGTATGATGCTACGTCTATTGGAAGCAGCTCTTTGTTTGTATTATGTGATGGACTAGAAGTTTGGTGTTTTCCTTCTCTTTGGCAAACATAAAAGTAATTTCCTCGTTTAGTGATTGTTTATTAGTATACATATCTTTAGTCAGGGGCCATGTATTTCAAGGCATTTATGTCATCTTTTATATATATATAAATGGTTAGGGTTATTGTAGCACTGCAGTTTGACATAGATTTGCATTATAATGCTGTAATTGTTGGTAATCAGCAATGGAATAACTAGTGGAATTGTTTTGTGAGTATGTGTCCCATTTTTCCCCAGGTAGCTCTCTGGGGGTCTTCATTTAGCCTATTGTTTATAGATTTCACATACATCTAGTCTTTTCTGAGTATTTTGCTAATGTGAACTTAGTAATGATACTCATGTTTGCATTCCAACATCTTCCCCAAAAGTGAAAATATTTCAGTAGGTATAACAATATTTAATCTCTACATTTGAATACAACATTCTTACATTTAAAGCTACAAATGTTAGGGCCATTACTGCCTTCTGCCAAAAAACACAAACTACATTAACATACTGAAATGAAAAACAATATTGCAGCATGCTTCACCTCACAGTGTTACATCTGTAATGCAGAGCATGCTGTCCAGTATGGCAGAACCTGCCCTTATGTGGAAGACGGTTATGATGATGAAAGCATTCTCTTTATTTCTGTTTTAATAGGAAATGTCAGTCAAGAGTTTATCTGTATGAATTTAGGTTTCATCCAAACAATTGAAATGACTTTAGTTTTCTGGGTATCCCAAATTCACTTTTATTGTCATACATTATTTCTATAATAATTCATCCTTTTTAGCCTGTAACTTACATACTGGGAACACTGTTTCAGGGCTCTTCCTGTGACCTCCATAAGTGTCACAGTTGTAGCCCCTTTCACCTGTTCCAACTGGAACCTGCACCACTAGTAGGTACCTTTCATTCTTGGGAACTTGTGATAATCATCAGGGACTAGGCCCAAGGGGAATGAAGGTTGAATATTTGCCCAATACTAATGTACCAAAAGAGTTGATGAGCTGTTGTGTGTTTGGTTATGGTTGATCATTCTTTTTCTGGAATGAACTAGCAGTAAGCAGCATGCATGCTGAAGAATATTTCCATCTTTTACTTTCCACTTTGAATGGTTTGCTTGAAACATCTAATTCTTTGATGACTTCCAAAGCAAGGCATTATATTATTGAATTATTTCCTTACTCTTCATATTTACTGCTGATTAGTAGCTGTTCCCATGATTGAAGACCCTGTTGAAGGGATGCAGATTCCATTCAGCAAAAGATATGGAAATAGTGGCATGTAAGGAAGTTGCAGGAAATGGACTGCATTCATTGCAGAGTAATAAGCACTTCAATGTCTGGCAGAATCACAGGAGTGAAGTTTGTAAATGATGACTGCCATCTACTCGCCAGGCTTACTGCTCTTTTAAATAATTTAAGTTTATGACTGATTGCCTTACTTTATCTGTTAATGTGCAATGAGTTTGGTTCTGTTTCTATGCTAGAAAGAAAGGCACACTTTTACTCTCACTATGAAAGTATGGTAGGAGTAATTATTCTAGTAATATCAGTTGCTGTCTTGTTTATTATATGCATATATAATTCAGACTTCTCAGGAGTGTTTGTGGTGTGGTACCACATTTTCATTAGAAGTTGATATATTTAGCTTGGTATTAAGTTTTTCTTGTTTCTTGTGTTGTATTTTTTCCTGGAAATTAATGTTGATTGTAATTATATTATTGTAACAGTTTGTTGTTTAGTTTCAGAATGGGCTGGTGCATGCAGTCTCATGCTTTAATGGTGACAAATGAACAATGGAACTTTTAATTTCACTGAAGATTTTATACAAACATTTGAAGTGTGAATGGACTTTTTAGCATGCATCAATAAACAATGACCCATTCTAAATGTACCACTTTTTCAATTTGCCTCACTTCGACAAATCACCTGCAACTGTAACAAATCTTCACATACAAGGAATAATACCTATAGAATAAAAGTTTTTATGATACCAAATTACATATGGCATTTTGCAACTTTACCATTGCATCATTTGAAATTGGCACACAAGTGAGCACATGTATTTTGTATTATTATGGAGAAAATAAGGAAGACTGTTGTGGAGATGAAGAATAGACACAAAAAAACGCATCAAGGCAATTCTGCTGTGCTAGACAACCAGAGTATTCAGACATCTCGTGAGCTAGTCTCCATGTGCCTCTGCTACTTGGTGGCATTCTCATTCAACCTTATATGCTGAGGTAAGATTGCAAAACTGAAGAAATGGAAGTCATTAAGTTCAAGGGTAAGATTAGAAGTGTCATTTAATTAATGCTCTACAGTACAAACAATAGTATCAATAAAATAAATTAAGTAAATGCCCTGGTTAAAACATTCATTACCAGTTTACAAACAGCTGTTTGGTAGTATGTAAAAGCGCAGAATGGGATTTTTTGTTTTATTGGATGACAAGCTGTTTTGAATCTAATTGTTTCCACTAATTGACAGATTGATATAAATCTTTTCTGTTTCAAAATTAATTTCAAGAAATAATAAGTTGTCATAGATACAGCTGGAGGTATGTGCATGTATAAAAGGGTATATTATTGTTTTTATGTCTGAGTTCTGATGGCTGGATTAATATTGGCTGGCACAAAGTTGATTGAAATATTTTACAATAGTCAGTTCATTTTCTTAAGAAGCTTGACCTTTGCTGAGACCTAAAACAGTCCAGGGCTGTGGAGTCGGTACTAAAATCTCTTGACTCCAACTCATACTCCTTCATGAAAGCTCAATATGTATTAATAATGGTAAACCTACTAAAATGGTAAATGGTACCACAAACAATTTCATCAGCACCACGTTAATCATCAGGCTACTTTTTAGACTTATAACCTATATTTAAATATACAGGGTCTGCAGTGACCGCGCGGTCTCTGGGACCATGGGTTCGAATCCCACTCAAACCATGGATGTTTGTCCACGTTTTTTTGTGTTGTGCTGTCCTGTGTACAGGTAGAGGCCTTGCGAAGGGCTGATCCCTCGTCCAAGGAGTCATACCTACCCGCAGTGCTCAGGCACTAGAAGAACAGGTCGTTCCCATTATCCCAATATTTAAATATATGTCTAATGGTTATTGCAGAAATCTGTTGATTTGTAGACAGTTTGTGGCTTAACGCGTCATTGAATTTCCCCAAGCGTGAGGCCGCCGGTGGCCCACACGGTAGCAAAAGTGTTTTTAAGATTTTATGTCGGAGTCGGTACATTTTTACTGACTCCGACTCCACAACCCTGAAACAGTCAATCAAAATTATGTGTTATCATGTTTTACCACTTAGCTGTTATACAGGTCTGTCCTGAACCTCTTTATCTATAAGCTATACTTAGCAATACTTGTGAGTTCAGCTGTGTACCGCATGACCTGACCAAAATCACCCAAGAAGCACTCGAATACAGTCAGTCCACACTCCTACCCTATTGCATAATGTTCTGATTGATTATCAGCCAAGCTACATGAGAAAATGAATCTGCTGTATCTGTTTGCTTATGGAAGGAAAAAATAATTATTGGATATCTGTGTTTACTTACAGGATCAGGGTAGCATGAAGTACCCACAATTAGTGTCAATGCCCTCAGCTGTGCAGGATTGGCTCGATGAGCAACTTGAGGCTCGAGGTATTGATGCAGTGGTTTATACTCATTATATCCTCAGTCTGTTACAGACAGACACGCTTGATTTGCCAGACGATCTCCTCGCTATTTCCCCAAATAAAGTCAAGGTAAGGAACTTGAATCTTATATTATTCTGGTCATAGTATATAAGGTTGCTTTTTGTAGCATGCCTTATAGCACTGAGTGATGGTTGAGTTTATAATGAAGCAGGTTGCATGTTTTGTGTTTCTTCAGGATTGTTACATTTGGTGCAAATACAAGATTAATACAGAGTGATAGGGCTAATGACTTCATTTTTGTAACCTTATGGGGAAATCTTACTCTTTCATTTGTTGGATCTATGATATGCATTTTTCTTTGTGAAACCAGATTACTGAAAAAGTACTGGTAATCTGGGTGTACAAACTTGTATTTGTTGGATCATCACATACTTATAATGGTTTTCAAGTGTTGGCTCTAGTATTCAATTAACATATTTTGTTTTCAGTGGTCATTTATTATTTTCATGTCTGTTGACGTAGTGAGGGACATTAGAGTTGAAGTGGAGGATAAGTTTACGTTGTGCAGTGCATTTGCTGACAAAGATAAATATTCAACTGTTACTTCCTGAGTCACATGACTCCATGCCAAGAAATATGAGATTTTCCCCAATACAATTCAAGTATCACTCCTAGTCATGCAGTTCCTGCTGGGAGCTGGGAAGTGACAGTTGCATTTTACTTTCTCAGTAGGTATACTGTATTCAGGTATGCAATGTTATGATCTATAACCATCTGCAATTTCACACACCTATTTAAACTGGTTCATAAGTTACAGATTTTAGACTAAAGAGTATATATTTTTTTCATAGTTGCCATGTTGTTTTTATTTTAGATTCTATACAAAGTTAGTGTTGACAGAAGTTGTATACGTTTTGAAGTTTATCACTATGCAGAATGTTTTGACTCTACATTACACTGCACTAACATTATTTCTGTTTGTACAGAATTGGAAAGTATGAAGATGACATTCGTATGTTGTAATAAAAAATAAATCAGTAGATTTAAAAGTTTATAATTTGTTAACATAAGATATAAGATAAGCGTCTTCATATGTCAGAACTACATATAATTGGAAAATGTAAAATTTAAATGCAGTAGAAACCAGAACTAATGTCTTTCCTTAGTGTGAAATTATCATATTTGTCATGTCAAGTCTTGTTACCTGGAATTTTATATATATATTTTTGCTGCCACTGTTTTAAAAACAAGTTTTTAAAATACTTTTAAGTGGTCTGCAGTACACTAGTTCAAATACCTCTTCATATACTCTTGTATACTCATATACACATGGACCATCACTCCGCATACAGTTCCATTTTTGTAGTATTTGTTTGTTGTCATAGTTCTTGAAAGTCAGTTTGATTATGCAGAGTTGCAAAGAAGGTAGGTCCACTTACATTAGCTCACAGGCAGTCCAGTTAACAGCAAAAACTGAATATTCTATGTTGATGATCACTTTGTAATGTATTTTCACAATCATGTTTGTGAAGAATTCTTTTCACCATTTATTACGTTAATGAAATGGGGGTAAAATGAAATCTTCACCTCCATAGACTGGACTTGAAGTTGGTGAAAGCAAAAATGAACCACAAATTTGTCTGTAGTAAATCTGTTATACTATTTCTGAGCATGAAATTTAGTTTGTGCTTTGTCACTCAAAAGCAGTGAATATTTGCTCGGGGTCATGATTTTCAAGTGAATTTTTCATTTTATTAGCTTCATAGAAGAAACTTATAGAGAAACATTTCCAATGGTTTGCATTTAGAAGTAAATGCACAGTTTAGAAATACCACCCACACCAGCTGTTGATAGACTTTGGTGATTCCTAAGGTCTTTTGACGTAAATATGTCTATACGTAAGGGTCATTTGTCAAAAAAGCGTAATGAAGATGTGTAAGATCCATACCAATGATGTGTAAATATGGACCGACAATGGTCAGCTTGCGTGCCTTGTTCATAAGAAACTAATTGCTACATCATCTGTTTACTCGGCATTGTTGTGTTACATTACTGCCGTCAACAGTCCGCTTTCGTTATTGCGGAAAGAGCTGAGCTGTGAATCGCTTGTAGAAGAAGTGCGTCATAGACTAGATAATTTTACGCTGGTAAAAACGTTTTAGAATATCACAAGTACTTATCTTATATAAGAATTATTACATTACAATCAGCTACCACAGACTCATCTTAAGCGTAACTAATTCAAGTTAAATAAGCAATGTCTTAATCAAACTATTTACTCAATTGTAAAGCATATATATCCTTTATACAGAGACGTATTTATGTCAGATTCTCCGGAACCTGGTTCCACTGTCAATTTTTTTGTCAAATATCTGTCAAATTTAATTATTATTCAAGTATACATGTTTAAAACTAAAAATAAATATGTATCATCTGTTGTTAAAACATACAATCAGAATTAGAAGGATGGAAATGTTTTACTTTCACCTTGCATCCCTTTTGGGCTAGAGAAATTGTGATTTAAAAACTCATGGCCATTTTTTGAACTAAATGAAAATTACTCCTAATTATGCACTCAAGAATCCAGCACTTCTTATATTTAATAATATAAGAAGTGCTGGATTCTTGAGTGCATAATTAGGAGTTCTTGTGGAATACTGTGTCTGTTTGAACACTGTTGACAGAATTTTTAATTTTTAACCAAAATATCCAAATTCTACTTAAAAGTACTAGAAACAATAGTGATCCTTAAATTTGGCTTGGACATGACTCCATCCAGGAGGTTGGTCGACGTGGCCGCAAGCGCGGTCGCAACAGGGAGGAATACTGGGATGTGTGGGACTTCGAACAGCTCAAGCGCTCAGCTGCTGTGGAATGCCTCATGTCTGCTTCTGAACAGGTATCTTCGTTCAGTTGTCTGCCCATTTGCTGCTTTCATGCCTCTGAACTTTTGTATGTGCCGTTCTACTTTGGTTTGATCTTTGTCATGTTCATGGAGTGTTTTACATTTTGTCACAAATCTTGACATTCCTATTGGCAAATCATACTTTCAGTTGAACAGGTTGTTAAATTGCAATGGATCCTTTAGTTTGCATAATTTTTTTTGTAGAATATGATGTGACTAATATCTTGTAAATGTAGCAGAATCAGAATTGTTGTGTCTTTTGTACTGAAGACTTTTTCTTCACTTGTTATGTAACATGCTTAGATGCTAGTTCTGTTTACATTGATACACTGTACACTGAATATTGATAGTGCTGTTTTAAGCATGAATTCCGAGTAATAACATATGAGGTACTGTTTAATTAGAAATGGCCATGTGAAGTTGTGCTTTTATAGGTGAAAATACTAGATAACCAGTGATAAATGGAGGATGAGCAGGTCCTATTGCTCATAATATGCCTGCTTGAGGTGGAAGTTAATATTGATAATATGTAATTTGAGTTTATAAAGGCTGTTTAAAAATCCATTTGTTAATAGATTTTATTGGAATCCTGTAGAATCTTGTGTTTCTGTCTTTAATTTTTGCATTGTTACCATGATCCGCATAACTTGGTATTGTCATAATTCAGCCATATTTTGTTCCAACTGTGTCATTTTCAGGTTTTTGTATGTATGAACAATTAATGTTTAACATTTATGTACTGGTATAAAGCAACCTGAAGGTGGGGTGAGTTCAAAACATGTCATTGAATTACAAGAAACACCATTAATTTGTGTACAGTCCTTAATTGTTTATTTTGTTTTACTTTTATCAGTGAAAATTTAAGTCAGACTATGATGTTGAGAGAACCAAGGAAAATTGCATCTTCATACCCATTGCCTGGTAGAGAGATGAGCTGTTGATTAGTTGTGGTTTTGAATATGTCATGAGTCTTTGTTATTGTAAGCTCTGTCTTTGTTGTTGAGTCTTTGAGATACAGCATCCAAGAAAGTCAACTGTGGATCATTGTAGCTATGTAAACATAAAGAAATCACAATTTAATTTTGCTTTCAGAAGTGTGGAATAGAAAAACTGGTTGATGAGTTGTGTGCCAAACTGAAAGAGATTCAGAGTGAAGGTAGGCATACTTGTTTATTGAATTTTGATGGCAGAATGTTGTAGTTAGCCCATTAACCTTTTATCTACTGTTATGGCTTATAATCTCCCATCATGATAAATATAAATCATTTAACAATTCATGTTTTTCCATATTTAAGCTGGGATCTCAAAATAAGAATTATTATTGATAATGATTATGGCTGTATATGAAAATTTGAAATGACAATCTTGTGTATTGGGTTTTCAGTACCTTTACACCAGCATTCTGCATTAATTCATCCATGGTGATTGAAAACATTTCTGGAGCCTTGTTAGTGTCTTTTAAATGTCATTTAGGAGTGTTTGCTTCTTGATTCTAGGTGATAATAGTATCCATTTGGAGTTGTCACAAGACTCTGTTCCAAGCAAGCAGTCACACACACCATCACCTCAGGATCAAATTCAGAAGTAAGTTGAGTTAACATTCACATCTGTCCACTAATTTTCTAATTTGCGTATTCATGAATGATGTGTTGACATGATGAAACCTTAATCCTACAGTGTGTTGAGGTCTTATGGACTTCATTAATTCATCATGATTTTAGATTGTAAGATTTTATACATTTCACATTTTTTCTACATAATGTTTGGAACTGATATCTTATAGTTAACTCTGTTGTTCATTTATTCATCGAAGGATTAGTGCAGTTCTTAGGTTCCGTCAGTGATAGGAGTTGATATTGTGTATACTAATTACTGATTTGTATGTGTGCTGTTAGATTCCTGCTTATATACAGTTCTTTGAAGTACGCTGTATTTGTGTTGGGATGCTTTTTATTGTTCGAACCAACTGCAGGGGATGAATCATTTAAAGGAATATCAAAATGAGCCAATGAATGGCAGTGTTATGAGATGCTCAGTAGGTGGTGACAGGGAGTTGACTAGGTGATTAAAAATGTAGCAGAACATAATGTCTGCAAGTATGGAGTACTGATACCAAAAAAGTAATAGTAAGCAAAATGATTCGATGCTACGTCTCTGCAAAATTCATCATCATAAGTCTGAAACTAGTTCTACATCTTCTCAGAGTCTGCTGTGTGCCAGCAGACCTTTGTATCAGCAAACCTTTTTGTCACAACAATATCTTTGCCTCAGTATAAATCCACAAAACTATATGTACACTGTCTGTACCACAAGTCTACAGTCAATTTCTGCATCTTTGAGAAATATGTTTTCACATACTCATCATCCAGTCACAGTTTCTTAAAACTCTGCACATTGGAAATAATAATATTGCTTTGTCAGTACAAACTTTCATGTTTATATTATCATGATCACTCACATCACTAGAACTGGGTTTAGAAAGTTACATTATTTAATACTGGTACATGTGACAATACACATTAAAATGTGTGCTAAACACGGTCTTTGTATGTGTGTGGGTGTGTTTTGATCATGAACACAAAGATAGGAACACAGAAACTACTCAACTTATTTTAATCATGACTGGTTAGAAGTCTTCAGCTTATTGTGTGATGAAGGGACAGTGCTCTCAAAATACCTGGACTAGTTTTACTTTGAATGTATTAAATGTTAATTGGTTCTAATAGTATATTTTTGTGTTTTTAGGTATTATGCCGCATTTCCACCTTTACATAGCAAATTTGCTGAACCCAGTAGCAGTCTTAATACCCTAATTCCTGAACCTAGTTCTGCTTGGAGTGGTAAAAAAGTTCTTGCCGATTCATTTGGAAAAAACAAACCTTGTAACGTGTCACTTCCAGAATCCGTTCCAAGTGAGGAGAAGTTAGTTGATTCTGCTGGTTCAGGAGAGGAAAATAAAGAGAATAGGGGTAATAACAACAGCGCATGGAAAGAGGTGGGCAGAGAAAACATGAAATCTAGTAATCAGATGAAGGAAAAGGCTAAGGGTAAGAAAGAAGTTGGTTATGGATTTGCATGGAGCATGGCAGGTGAATGGAATGAAAGCTTTACCAACTTTTGTCCTGGAGGAGTCTCTGAGAATAGTAGTTCTGAGTTGTTGAGAGTTCGCCATTATAACAGACAGAACAAGGGGAGTAAGGCAGATGATAGTGTGTCACCAGAAACAGATCTGCAAGTACATCAAGGTAATGCATGGGAAAATGCAGTTTGTCGGAGGCTGTATGAAAGACATACTGATGAAGGGAACCATGTTTTGTTATGGTCCATTGACTGTAAGAAAGAAGAGGTACAGAACAGGTGCAGTGCAGGAGATGATGGTAAGTCTCCTGGACAAGGTGCAGAAGATCAAAATCTTGCTCAACTGATTGCAAAGTTTGATCATAGCATTGAAGCTCTGTGGAACCCAAATGAAGGTCACTCTGCACCAGACAAGTTCTCTTCAGAGGAAACTGTGGATTCTGATCAGGAATTCCCCTTGAATTTTCAACAACTCCTGTCATCCCCAAATGAACAATATCTAGCAGTGGAATTGTACAACATGAACAACAGACGGAACCAAAATATATTTACAGCCAGTAACTCGTTTATTCAGTGTGGTACTAATATCACTAGCTCAATTTGGTCTGATCAACCATCCCAGGAAAATTCCTTTGAGCAAGATGATTTTTCAATGGATTATATACATTGTGAGCAACAGAATGTGTCAGATCATGTTGAAGAGTCAAACGTCAACCTTAGAAATGCCTGCTGTAATGGGCCAGAAACAGAGGGAGACTCATGTGATGTTCTTGTCGGAGAAAGAAAAATAGTTGGAAACAAACTTCATTCAGGAGAACAGTTGAAAGACATGACATGTGCAGAAAAGGATCAGTCGATTTCTATATGTAAGGATCGAGATATTCATGAAATTGGCAGATGTGATGTACCAGCTTCAGAGGAAAAATCTGAACTATTATGGAATAAGTATGATACATTCTCATTCTTTACAAGTTTACCATTGGCAGCAAATTATACAGGAAATGATATTACACAAGGAATTGGAATTTCAAAGTGGTCCAGTGTTGAGAGCTCAAGTACATATGACAGTTATTCACCTTTTGGCAATATTTTTCCTAATGTCTATGGTCACATGAATAAATTCAATGGAAGTCATTTTAATAGCATTTGTGCTAATGTACGGAATGATAGTTTAATCACACTAAATCATAACAAAGAAGACAGCAGTTTTACCGAGGTAATTCCAAAACAAAATTCCTCGAGTGGATTGTTAGAAGACAAATTTCATTCTGGTACTGTGCAACAGAAGAAAAGCATATCCGTTGAATACGTGTGTCATTTAGAAACTATAGATTGTGGAAATTCTAAGGGAGGAAAGTTAGAAGTTGAAAAAGAGGAGGAAGATTTGCTGACATCAGCACGGACACATTTTCGTCCTATCCGCATGGAGAATATGGACTCTCACCATAGCACATGTACTGGTAACAATAACAATGTTGGTTCTTATGCAGATGGAACCACATTTGTGATTTCAACCAGTCTAGAAGAAGTAGCATTTAAGAGAAGTGAGAGTGGAACGTTATATCTTGAGGCTGAGGCTGGTACTGGTTTGGAGGCTCCCAACAAGTACATGGAATACAAAGAGAAAGAAGCATATGGGGGTCGTCACCGCTACAAGGAGCAGCCACAGAGTGGTGGTGACAATTCAAAAGAATTCATACCTAAGTTTAGAGTGCGTCAGAATGAAAAATGGTGTCAGACTGAAGAAGCAGATGATATGCTACAAAGTGATGAAGAAGTTGATAAGAAAAGAAGTAGGCAAGAGATTAAGGCTATTAATGATCCTGAAGATTTCTACTTTCCAGATGATGATCATTTTGCAGAGAAAGTAATCAATTCTTTGGAGGACAGCTATGAAAATATAACAGGGAAAGAAAATAGAAGCAGCTCAGCATGCCATCCACAAACAGATATTCATGAGTCTCAGAATTCTTCTTCCCACCTGAAATATGGCTCATGTCTTCAAAACGAGAAGAAGATTGTTGGTAGTGTAGGATCTGAAACTTTGAATGGAGTTGAACCAAACATACCAAATAACTCTAGCTGCAAATGTAGCAGCAATAGTCACCATTTGCAGATGTGGAAGACCGGATGGCCAAAGTCATCCCAGGTACCACAGTTAAATGTGTGGGAAAATAGGTTCTGCTAGTATAAAAGTAGACTGAAATATTTTAAAGTAAAGTAATGCAGAAATCAGCTTCTGATGGAATAGAGATGAGTAAATAATGAAAATTTTGATCTCAGAATCTCAAGAATTTCCTGCATTGTAAAATTTGAACTTTGGTTTGTATTCTAAACCCTCAGAGTTTAAAAGAATTATACAGATAGATTTGAGATTTTCACAGCAATTAATTATGGTAGTTATTGTGATGACAGGCTGACTCATTAATTACAAGATTATTAGATACATTGGGCCTTCAGTGTCCATTGACTCCCCTGTTTCTCTTGTTCATCATCATCTATTTAATGCCATTACTGTTGTATTATCATATCATTACCAGTTATTACTATCATAATACATTGAGAACCATGTCCATTGTACATTTTTATTTGCTGTTTGATACATTTACATTGTTAGCAATTTTGTGAATAGCACTTGGCAGTTGTGCTATTCCTGGAACTTTGTTGCTTCAAAATGTTCTGTTTAATTTAAAGCCATTTAAAGTTTAAATGCGTCATGTTTGTGTTTTATAATTAAAATATATAATATAATTCAGGTCTATACACAAACTTTATTTACAGATGTTAAAATTTAAAATTTGCGCTATTCATCGTTACTACGATGTTACAATACTGCGCCTTCATTTACTACATGTTTCGATGCGTAGCATCATCTTCAGGTTTTTCCTTTAAAACTACTTTATATTACAATGCAAGTTTTTCATTTATTCATCTGTTTTGTAAATTAATTAATTAAAGATCAACAGAACACATACTATAATAATTTACAAAACAGATGAATAAATGAAAAACTTGCATTGTAATATAAAGTAGTTTTAAAGGAAAAACCTGAAGATGATGCTACGCATCGAAACATGTAGTAAATGAAGGCGCAGTATTGTAACATCATAGTAACGATGAATAGCGCAAATTTTAAATTTTAACATCTGTAAATAAAGTTTGTGTATAGACCTGAATTATATTATATATTTTAATTAAAGCCATTTGTTGATCCTTGCAAAGAAAAGATTTACAAGTAAAGGAACAGTTTGGAACCTGCATATTTAGTTTATATAGGCTTTAAGTGGCCTTGTTCCATGCAAGTTAACATTCTGAATCTGAAGCTTATACAAGTAATATTTAAGAATTCAGTCCATACTTTAAAGAAAACATAAAACACTGCACTGAGAATCATATAAAACCCATAATTAAAAAATTCAGAATTAATAATTGTTAAAACAGGTGGTACACATAGTAACCACTGAGATGTAAGGTGTTGAATATTTTTCAGTAATAAACTACAAAGTTTGATTAGTGGATAAGTTAAGATGGTTACATTTGTTACTACAGGTACAACATTTGGAAGTCAAGCCCAGGACCATCAGCTAACATGTGTCAGTGTGGCATGTCCCCTCCTGTGGGTGGTTTGGAACCTCAGTTCCTGCCAGACAAGAGACCGGATAGTGGTGGAACTGATATGAGAAGTTTGCAGTATAGTCGTCTGCGTGAGGAACTCACTATGGAAGGAGAACAGCTCTTGTCAGACCTAAGCTACATGCAGCATCTCTATCAAGGGTCAGACTGGCAGGATGACACAACACCACCAGAGGAATCTCTAGTAGATTGGAGCATTGAACAAGAGGAACTGGATGGTGATAGGAAGCTGTGTTGCTTGTCTCCAACTGAGGACTCAACCCAGGAAATGATGATGTACGGCGAGGATACTGGCTGCCCTCAGAGTCTGCCAGTCTCTCAGTCATCAGTGAAGAAAACAAAGGTATACAATTAATTTCTTGTTAGTATTTGGTCTATTTAAGAAGTAGGAATTGGTTTCATGGTGGTAGAAATTGTGTTTACATTCATAAAATGAAACATAACACAGTCTGCCTCTGTGGGTTTTGTACTAAGGTAAATAAAAAAATATGTTCAAAACAGTTGCTCTGCCCCCCATCCAGTGATAGACACCATTTGTGAATGTGCATGTGTCCAACCACCAGCATGGAATCTCCTTGCTGCTGTGATGTATTTGACCTTGACCATTCTGTTCCCTTGCTTGCTGCCACCAACATGGCCATCCTGCTTGATAAGTAGGATAAGTACCTTCTAATGTACATATTTGCATTCACCTGATTAAAACATGTAAGCCTGCACAAAATGTGAACTCATGGTGGTAGATTCTCTTAATTAATCATAATACAGTCAAACCTCGGTTCACGAACGCCTGGGATCATGAACAATTCAGTTTATGAACAAATTTTCCGAACACAAAGCGTCTCGGATGATGTACTGTGTCTCGAGTTACGAACACGCAAGCCGTCAACATTGTGGAGCGATAAGCTGGGAATATCAGCGTCGGCAGTATTCGTAGAAAAATGATTCAGCATGAGGCCAAAGAAAGACAATGATAGCAGCGAAGTGAAAAGAAAAAATACCAATATCATGATAGATGTTAAGAAAGAAATCATAGCCAAACATGAAAATGGTGTTCGTGTCTCTGATCTTGCTAGTTCTTTGATCCGTGAAATTTGTGCAAAATGGTGTGAGGTGCAAAGTTTCGTGGAACGATATCACCCCGATAAAGCAGTAGCAAGCCGCAGCATAAACATTTTCAATGATAATGCCATGTGTCACTTTAGAAACATTTTAAAACATAGACAAAAACAAATCACACTGGACAACTTTTTAGTGAGACAGAGGCCCAGTGAGTCTGATGCAGAGTCGAGTGGTGCCAAGAGACAGAAAAAAGAAAAAGAATCCCCTTCCAAACAATAACATTTCACTTCCACTTACGCCGTCAGCTCTCCTCCATACAGGTACAGTAAAACTAAATTAAGTTTTTGTCTATATTTGATCTGCTTAGTGTTGTGTATATCTTTTTTGTGATAGATTTAATGGTTTCCATTGATTTTGTGTTAAGAACGTGAGCACAAAGTACTGTTGCAAAATTTTAAATAAGCAATCATCTGGGTTCCAGGAACGGATTAATCCATTTTACATTAATTCCTATGGGGAAAATAGTTTCGGTTTACGAACGACCTTCAGGAACGAATTAAGTTCGTGAACCGAGGTTTGACTGTACTTGATTTAAAGCTGGGACAAATGATATTAACTGAAGTTGCCTATAAGCTAAAATCTTAGTTTGCACAACCATGTGAACACATTTATGTGTCAGTTGATTATGAGCTGGAGAACAAGGGTTCATTTCCAGGCATGTGCAGTGATTTTTCCTTCTCCATCACATCCATGCCTGGTCTGAGGCCTCCATTATACAGGAATAAAGCAACTGGAGTGTGAAGCCAAGATTTTGTGGAGCTATTTCTTTTGCCCATACATCTTAATAAAGCTTGAACAGTATTACCTTTACATCATTTTTGTATGTAGTACAATAGATAGCAATATTTTATAATCAGTCTGGTTATTCAGCTATTCAGGAACTTCCCACCTCTTGTGGAACTTGAAGGTTCATCATGATCATAAACCTTACCATCTTATCCTGTTTTAAACCAGTTCCCATAATTACATACTGTTTCTGTAATTTTATTTTGATCTTCGTGTTATCCTGCCTTTGAGTGCTGGAACTATGTGGAAATTTGCTGTGTTGCTGGCATTTCAGCGGACTGTAGTGCCTCTGATATCAGGGCAGTATGATCATCTAAAACATCAGCAGTACAGTCAACTTCCACATGGTGCCAACATCTAAAAGAAGGATTATCGTCAACAGTGAATCACCATGAAAGCTGAAAATCAATTATTTCAGTCTGTCGATTTTCGCACTTCATCTCCAGCCATCGCTTTCCCCAGATTGGCTCTTCTGTCTAAAGAATTGGAAGAAGAATGGAAGCAAATCGAACGACCTTTCAATGCAAAGGCAGTCCAGAAGGACCGCAAACGGTATGATTTGGTTATCTATTGCTTTTTGTTTCATAGGTTAGTCTGGCTTTTTTGACTTTGTGGAGTTACTCTTAAATCTTGCAGTCATTTCTCTTTGTATTTGGGTAGGTAAATTGTACTGTTGTATTTGATAGGTATTAGAGAAAAGAATTGTAGGACATAATTCATAAACATTCCAAAAATGGTACTTTGGTTGGGAGGAAAGTATAGTGTGACATTTTATAGGTCAGCATCTTGTGGTCATCAAACAAGAGGTTCTTTTTGCATCAGACACATAACATTTTAATATAATAATGTTTACACCACAATTAACACTAGCTTTTAGTACTGAAATTGCTATTGATTGAATAATAGTATTTGTAGTTAGGTTATATAGTGTAGTATGTCAACTGTGATGAATATAACGGTAAGAAATAAATGCATTAAAACTATTTAAAATACATAACAATGGGACATAATTATGCTCTTCATCACATGTGAATTGGCCATCTAAGCTCTAAGGCTTTGTATCTCTCCTTGCCTCATGATAAGTTATTCATGCGTATTACAGCTTTATTGCTGCCTTAAGTGTATTACAATACATACTTTGAGTGTTGTATTGCCACAGCACTACACATACAAATTATTTAGAGCTATGATATACCTGTCTCCACAGTGTTTATGTGACCTCAAATTAACTGATTTCAGTAAGAACATAGAAGTATCATACCAATCTTTATTTCAACAAAGAATTTTGAAGGAAAACTGATGATTGGTGTGCACTGCAATGTTACTATACCTTGGAACTGTGTATGCTGCTGGTCTTTGTTGTATCACACAATTTTCTTTTTAATGTTATGGTGTCATGAGTGACATTGTTTTTTGTGTGGTTTATTGTCTGTTATAGACTTTTATGGCATAATGACCCTGAGAACCATAAAGTGAGAATCCCTGCTCTTTTCCAGTATTTGAAAGTTATATATAAAAATTTATTAATGCTACAATTATTTGATACATAAGGAGGCATTCAGCAAGTCAACGAGCATGCATCTACTTTCTTGAGGGCAGTTGTAGGCGCCCACACTGCCGCTTCTCTCATGACTTGGCCACTGTCCCATGCAGGTTCTGGGTGGACTCATCTTGCTTGAAGGGAATTGCCTGTCCGTTCCTTCATGGCAGCGCTCAGGCTCTGCGACCCGTCACTTTGTAAAGGTAAAATCTCTTTAGGCATTAACATTAATAATTTAAAGAAAATTAGGTCATAATAAGGTAAATAACTTGACTTACATGTTTGTAAACATAGAAATATCTACACAAGCCTTGGAATATGATCCAATGTAAGTGAAGTAGGACATTGTCAGTCAAGATTTGCCATCTTCGAGGGGGTTACTTTATGATGTATTTTGAAATACTTGGGGAGCAGTTACTGCTGTATTCATATTACATACTGAAAGTTGCTGTCAGCTGGAATGAGATGCATTCCCATATTGAGTGTTACCTATATGAATGCTGTATTATGATATGATAGCCCAATATAAAGATGTACATTATCAAAACTCATCTGACAGCAACTCTTCTTAGGATAAATATGAATTATTCTAAATAGAATGAGATTACACATTGACTTTTGGCTCATTTTGATTTCTGAATGAGTGCAACTGAGAACATTTATTCAGAATATAATCATGCAAAATGAATTTAATCCTCACTTGAGAGTGAATTCTTTTATAAATGATGCTAAA